AACCATCATGGGCTGGGCATTCCTAGTTTTGAAGGTTCTCATATATTAGTCAATGTTCAACCTGTGTAAACGCCAGAGATGTGTTCAACACCACACTTACTACACCAGAAAAGGATTCGATAAGAACGCCTGTGAAGAAAGGAAATGCTGAATTTGCAGACATAATTACTTGTGCCACATCATGACAACATGACCGGGCTCTCCAGAGACACTCAGTCAGAGAGACTAGAATCGACAGCGAGCAACCCAGGATCACATGCTGAGAGCCGAAAAACCCAGGATCACATGCTGAGAGCCAAGAAACCCAGGATCACATGCTGAGAGCCGAGCAACTCAGGATCACATGCTGAGAGCCGAGCAACCCAGGATCACATGTTGAGAGCCCCGAGTCACCAACACAATTACGTCCAGCTTTCACAGCATAAACACTTACAGATTCCTCTCCGCTCTGCTCATCGTCACGTACACTTCAGTTGTCTTATGTGAATCAGAAAGCACGGCATCTGAGGGAACAAGGAGCTACATCTCACAAGAGATTCGGGAAGACTAATGGTCGAGGGGTTAGGTGTAGTAGTAAAAACGAACCATACCACGGGTGGGGATAGAACCCGCGATCAGAGAGTCCCGTGGCATGGTTTGTTTACAATCGTGTCATTACGATATCGTGAGTAGTAAGACCGGCCGGAGAGAGAGGGCGATAAGAGAATTTGTATGTGAGGGGCTTGGGTATTCAACTGGCTCGTGCGAGAGTGTTAGGAGTGAGCGGTAGCAAGTGGGTTAAGAACTGGTTAGCCAGACTTGAGTCCTGGAGGTGGGAAATACAACACCTGAGCACTGAAGGAGGGATGGAGGTGTAGTATCAGCGCACCTCAGGCAGGACACTGATACAGTGATGCTTAAAGTGTTACTTTATTTTCTCTGGTATGTTACAAATAGAACCTAGAAATATATGGTCTATGTAATTACTACACTTGTAATTTTATGCATTTGCCAATGTATTATTACATAATAAAATCGTAAAATTTAATTTTTAATTTAACAGTGAATGCTAAAATAAATAATGCAAAAAAAAAAAAAAAATCAATAAAAAGGGTAAAATGGTAATACTTTATTATCCCTGGAATAGAAATGGAAAAGAATGATTAAAAATAATATCTAGAGAATAAAACCATAATAAAGATTTGACTAAAACAGATAAGAAAAATATTTGAATTGATCATTGTTGTAAGAATAAAATAATTAATAATAAATTTATAACGAATGCAATAAATATTATGAATCCAAAATAATAATAAGGAAATAAAGGTATAGAAATTAAAGTGAAACACACAAGCCAGAGACTTTGTCTTATTAGGTATCCCTGAACCACTCCCGGGAAGCTGGCTTCCAGGTATCCCTGAACCACTCCCGGGAAGCTGGCTTCCGGGTATCCCTGAACCACTCCCGGGAAGCTGGCTTCCAGGTATCCCTGAACCACTCCCGGGAAGCTGGCTTCCGGGTATCCCTGAATCCCTCCCGGGAAGCTGGCTTCCGGGTATCTCTGAATCCCTCCCGGGAAGCTGGCTTCCGGGTATCCCTGAACCACTCCCGGGAAGCTGGCTTCCGGGTATCCTGAACCACTCCCGGGAAGCTGGCTTCCGGGTATCCCTGAGTCCCTCCCGGGAAGCTGGCTTCCGGGTATCCCTGAATCACTCCCGGGAAACTGGCTTCCGGGTATCCCTGAACCACTCCCGAGAAGCTGGCTTCCGGGTATCCCTGAAACACTCCCGGGAAGCTGGCTTCCGGGTATCCCTGAACCACTCCGGGGAAGCTGGCTTCCGGGTATCCCTGAACCACTCCCGGGAAGCTGGCTTCCGGGTATCCCTGAACCACTCCCGGGAAGCTGGCTTCCAGGTATCCCTGAACCACTCCCGATAAGCTGGCTTCCGAGTATCCCTGATCCACACCCGGGAAGCTGGTTTCCGGGTATCCCTGAACCACTCCCGGGAAGCTGGCTTCCGGGTATTCCTGAATCACTCCCGGGAAGCTGGCTTCCGGGAATCCCTGAACCACTCCCGGGAAGCTGGCTTCCGGGTATCCCTGAACCACTCCCGGGAAGCTGGCTTCCGGGTATCCCTGAACCACTCCCGGGAAGCTGGCTTCCAGGTATCCCTGAACCACTCCCGATAAGCTGGCTTCCGGGTATCCCTGAACCACTCCCGGGGAGCTAGGTTCCAGGTATCCCTGAACCACTCCCTGGGAGCTAGGTTCCAGGTATCCCTGAACCACTCCCGGGGAGCTAGGTTCCAGGTATTCCTGAACCACTCCAGGGGAGCTAGGTTCCTGGGTATCCCTGAACCCTCTCCGGGAGCTAGGTTCCGGGTATCCCCGAATCACTTCCGGGGAATCTGGTTCGAGGTATCCTGAACCACTCCCGGGGAGCTAGGTTCCAGGTATCCCTGAACCACTCCAGGGGAGCTAGGTTCCAGGTATTCCTGAATCACTCCCGGGAGCTAGGTTCCAGGTATCCCTGAACCACTCCCGGGGAGCTAGGTTCCAGGTATCCCTGAAGTACTCCCGGAAAGCTAGGTTCGAAGTATCCTGAACCACTCTCGGGAAGTTAGCTTCCAGATATCCCTGAACCCCTCCCGGAGAGCTGGGTTCCAGGTATCCCTGAACCACTCCTGAGAAGCTGGGCTCCAGGTATCCCTGAATCACTCCTGGGGAGCTAGGTTCTAGGTATCCCTGAACCACTCCCGAGGAGCTGGGTTCCAGGTATCCCTTAACCACTCCCGGAGAGCTAGATTCCAGGTATTCCTGAACCACTCCCTGAGAGCTGTCTTCCAGTTATCCCTGAACTACTCCCGGAGAGCTGGGCTCCAGGTGTCCCTGAACCACTCCTGAGGAGCTGGGCTCCAGGAATCCCTGAATCACTCCTGGGGAGCTAGGTTCCAGGTATCCCTGAACCACTCCAGGGGAGCTAGGCTCCAGGTATCCCTGAACCACTCCCGGGGAGCTAGGTTCAGGGTATTCCTGAACCACTCCCGTTAGCTAGGTTCCAGGTATCCCTAAACCATTTCCGGGGAGCTAGCTTCAAGGTATCCCTGAACCACTCCCGGGAAGCTAGGTTCCAGGTATTCCTGAACCACTCTCGGGAGCTAGGTTCCAGGTATCCCTGAACCACTCCCGGGGAGCTAGGTTCCATGTATCCTTGAACCACCCCGGGGAGCTAGGTTCCAGGTATTCCTGAAGCACTCCCGCTGAGCTGGCTTCCAGGTATCCCTGAACCACTCCCGGAGAGCTGGGCTCCAGGTATGCCTGAACTACTCCTGAGGAGCTGGGTTCCAGGTATCCCTGAATCACTCCTGGGGAGGTGGCTTCTAAGTATCCCAGAAACACTCCCGGGGAGCTGGCTTCTAGGTATCCCTGAACCACTCCCGGAGAGCTGGGCTCCAGGTATGCCTGAACTACTCCTGAGGAGCTGGGTTCCAGGTATCCCTGAATCACTCCTGGGGAGGTGGCTTCTAAGTATCCCAGAAACACTCCCGGGGAGCTGGCTTCTAGGTATCTCTGAACCACTCCCGGCGAAATGGGCTCCATGTATCCCTGAACCATTCACGGGGAGCCTTCTTCAGGCATCCCTGAACCACTCCTGGAGAGCTGGCTTCCAGGTATCTCTGAACCACTCCTGGAGAGCTGGCTTCCAGGTAACTGTAAACAACTCCTGGAGACCTGGCTTCCAGGTAACCCTGAACCACTCCTGGAGAGCTGGCTTCTAGGTATCTCTGAACCACTCCCGGCGAAATGGGCTCCATGTATCCCTGAACCATTCACGGGGAGCCTTCTTCAGGCATCCCTGAACCACTCCTGGAGAGCTGGCTTCCAGGTATCTCTGAACCACTCCTGGAGAGCTGGCTTCCAGGTAACTGTAAACAACTCCTGGAGACCTGGCTTCCAGGTAACCCTGAACCACTCCTGGAGAGCTGGCTTCCAGGTATAACTGAACCACTCCCATCTCGCGGGGAACCCAATTATGAACGCCGCTCAGACTACTGTCATACGGACTCCTGACGAATACCGCTACTCTGGCTGGTAAGACACATGGGCAACATTTAGGCAACTTTATTCCGAAACGCTTCGCCTACACAGTAGGCTTCTTCAATCTAGTACAGAAAGGAGGCAGGAGCAGTAGAGATGTGAAGACAATGTAACCAGTCCATCACCCTTGAAGATGTAGATTTGAGGTTGTCAGTCCCTCAGCCTCGAGAAATCTTCTGTTTCAGGAGAGGAGAGGTGTAGAGTAGTAGAAGAAAGAATGTAATCACTGAGAGGTAACTTCCCACTTAGTTCTAAGCTCTTAAAGAAGTTGTCCAAGGTGTTTTCTCTTCTGTACCAAGATGCCTTGTGTTGCAGTGTCCGACAGAGGCTTCATCAGTTCAATTACAGAGGTTATGTGGAAGCCAAGACACTCATTACCTCTTTGACTGTCTTTAGTTTCAACACCTCCAAATAACCTCGGTGTTGCATGTGTCTTTGTTTCATTAACGTATCGGTAATGACTATCATTACTGTATTACCACACCGATATTAATGTCTCATTAACAATATATTATTTAGAACTTTAAGAAATTATTTTCTGTGTAAATCAAATGTATGTTAATGTGACACACGGATATAAAACCAAATTAAATATTATTATTATTAACAAACTGAATAATAAAAAATAATAATAATAATATAATAATAATATAATAATAATAATAATAATAATAATAATAATAATAATAATAATAATAATAATAATAATAATAATAATAACATTATTATTATTATTATTATTATTATTATTATTATTATTATTATTATTATTATTACGTATCCATTATATTTATAATGGATATTATTTATAAAAATCTGTAAAATGAGCATTATACATATCGATGATAATTATTTATTCTATTCCTGTAGCCCAATTATTGTTTCTTTCCCTTTCAAAGCCTAATTATCCGTCTGTGACTCAGGATGCCTCGCAGAAAGAAGGAGTGTGGTGTCGAGGGTGGTAGAGTTCGTGAGAAGCCGGTTCAACGCAACGCAGCCAACGCCAGAGAAAGAGCCCGTATGAGGATTCTATCCAGGTGCGTTATTAAAGACTGTGTTTTCACGTGGTTACAATTCACTCATGGTTAGTGAATCAACACACGCTAGCTGTTAGCAGGTCGCAACACACTCTAGTGCGTCAGCATACACTTAATGTTAGCAGTTTACAACATACTCTAGATTACTGCATCAACACACTCTATTGGCAAGTTACAACATACTCCCGAGTAGTGTATCGAAGCACACCGTTACCAGGTTACAAGAAGACTCTTGATTAGTACTTATACACGCATTTACCTTTGTCAAGTAACAAAATACTCTAGTGCATCGATACACACGAGATGGGAAGTGAGAGGACGTTGGTACATTCACAGTAGTTACAGTGTTAATTGCACATATCAGTGGTACTTCTGATGTCGTTGCTTATGTTTACTCCTAAGCAGAGGCGGATCTACTGTGAAACTAATGAACCTTAAGCTTCAGGGTCCCTAATCCCGGATGGGCACTAGAAGCGACTTCAGTCCATATTGCTTAAAAATTTTGGGTCTACTGTATGAGAAGGCGTTGCAAAGGGGGCCCCCATAAGAGTTTTAGGTTCAGGGCCCCAAAAAGTAGGTCCGCCACTGCTCCTTGGTTCTTTTTTTCTCTAGTTTCGGTTAATTTTTTTGGCCAAACGTTTTGTATTTATGTTTGAGACTTTTATACTCAAAATGCGTTACTTTGCACTTGTATACGTTGAAACTCATTATCCACGTCTCTAACCACTGCACTAAAATGTCCATATCACTCTGAAGACTCCAACAATCTGCTCTGAAAGTTGCACTTTCTTTAAATTTGGTGTCTACCTGGAGGGTCTACCTGGAGGGTATTCCGGGGATCAACGCCCCCGCGGCCTGATCTCCTAAAAGTTTTGCAATCTTTAATGTTAGCCCAACCTCGAGATCATTTATGTAGATTGTGAAGAGGACTGGACAAAGTACCAATCTCTGGAGAACTCCACTCTTCATGGAAAGCCACCAAAACTGGAACGAAAGCCTGAACGGACGTAATATATCAAGATTTCCAGGAGGCCTTAGACAAGGTACTCCATTAAGATTGATGACCGATATAAAAACACACGATATAGGAGACAATCTTCATGCATGGAGACATTTATCCACGCATGAAGATTGTCTCTCATATCATGTGTTTTTAACAGAGTACCTTGTCAAAGGCCTTCTGGAAATCCTGATATTTTACGTCTGTTCAGGCTTTCGTTCCAGTTTTTGTACATATAAATGGAAAATTCTAGTTGGTTAATAAGGCTTGGCATTTTGTTATGCAGTCGATGCTAATGGATTGTAGACTATAGTCTATTCTAGGCTAGAAACATTGCTACATTTGTCTTGTGGTCTGGTTTCTAGCCTCTGCTTGAAAATTTCCAGAGTATTTGTCTAACTAATATCTAAGACTTTCCAGCGTATTCGTTAACCTACGCATATTATTCTAGTGTTCTCATTCAAACTTCGTCTAAAATTCGCTGTGCAGTTGTCAAACCTTTACCTAAAAATTTCTAGTGCATTTATCAAACGTCTGCTCGAACGTTTTTAGTACATCTGTCATCGCCATACTTGAAACATTCCAGTGTTTTTCGTGTGTCTAAAGTATGCTTGAGACTTTCTAGTATTTGGTCTAAATTATTCTTGAAACTTTCTACTGTACTTGTCTAATTTTAAGCATCAAAGTTTTTTGTGTTTATCATCTGTTCTATATTTTTGTGTGTAATTTTGATGGTAGCAGCTGTAGATGATGTCACAGGTGGGTGGGGCCCAGTAGTGGAGGAAGTTTGTATTAAACATTGCGACATTTCAGTTACCTAGCTAATAAACACGTCTTGCTTGTAAACTTATTGATACTGTTTACCACTTTCAGTAATGGTAAACATAAAATTGAACGGAGGTTGAACAGGGTTGAACATTTGATTGTATATTTTTAAGAAAGTTCAATTTAATGCTTAAATTTTAAATTGGAAAATTGGCAAAGTTTGACTTCCAAGTTCAATAAAATAAATTTTATTTAAGTGTTTAGCTCTCCAGAAGAAACAATCTCTTGTTATAACATGGAAAACAGTTTGATAAAATTTTCAAAATGTTTTTTTATAAAGAATATACAAACATGTCTCAGTGAACACATAATTGCATGCAGAAACGACAACTTGAGAAACGTAATGAGAATCAGTGATGTCCGCCTAGTGATCCAAGAAACGTAAATACCTTGAATCATCTTTAATCACTATTTCAGAAACCGTTACGACATTTCTGAAGTATTAGCAAGAATTCTCCTGAAAATAACAAACCCTACCATCACGTAACACCAAGAGTTACCTCCACTTACTACTACTACTATTACTACTACCACTACTACAACTATTATTACTACTATCTACAATATGGGTCATTAGATCTACTGCAGTGCTTATGCTATTTTCACCTCTCGTGTACCTACGTATATATATATATATATATATATATATATCCTCTGTGTTCTTGTATTGTTTGTAACGGCTTGATAAAGCTCCTGGAGAGCGAAACGTTGCCACAATAAAAGTCACATTAGTTGCGCCTGTGTCCTTTTACCTAACAAGACGAACAGCAACCAGCAACTATAATCAGGCTGGGCCCTTCTCAAGGACTTCACTTCATCAGAGATCATTCATTTCTAGGATGTGTCGAGTCTGGAACATGATCGTACATAATAATATCAAGGAAATAGTCAGTTGACCCAATGAAATCGCTGGCCCACTGCTGGCTCCAACTTCATCCTGTTCCCTATTTGTATGTTTCATAATAAATGGCTGTCAGATGAGCTTTATCATTGTAAATCAAGGTAGAACTCTGTGTAAATAAGAAAAATTGAGATTTTCCAAGAAGAGAGGTCGGAATAGGGAGAAGCAACAGCTGGGGAACCACAAGGATCGGTATTAGGACCATTACTGTTTCTGGTATAAATGAGTGACATACCAGAAGAGACTGAATCACATTAATGATGTGAAACTAATGAGGAGAATAAATCCCGATGAGGGCAATGAAAGGTTTTTAGCATATCCGGAGAAACTGCAGGATTGTTCAGGTAAGTGGTTTCCGGAATTCAATCCCGTCATATGTAAGGGTATAAACATTGGGACTGAGGAAAGGTAAGACGACTGAACACTGAGTTCTGTCTCAGACATCAGATGCTGCAGTATTTACTCAGAGAGGAGGACCTACGGATGATCCTAGTGAAAAGCACATCGCCGGAGGTACAAATCAAATGAATATGTTTGTCAAATCTGAGACGGAATCTTAACAAAAAGTCATTCATGACCCTTTCAATAACATATGTCAGGGACATCTTGGAGTTTCCAGTGCCAGCATGGAACCCACATCAGATAAAAAGTGTTACGAATCATGTTTAAGTGCTAAGGTTTGTTCCAAAACTAAGAACAATGAGGAGAGACTAAAAAACTTAATCTGGCGACATTAAAGGACAGAATAATCAATAAAGCATAGTAACAACATGCAAGAAAATCATATGAATTGACAGGGTTGAGAGGGATAGACAGATAGAGGGGAAGAGGGGAGAGGAAGCGGATACGGGGGCACACACGGAAGTTAAAGTTCCCTACCTTTATCTAAATACTGTTCACATATATGCTTCAATGTAAACACTTGATCTACACATCCCCTACCCATTATAAAGCCTTCTTGCTAATCTGTAATCCTGCTCTCTGGATTAACTCTAATTCTTTCAATTATAACCCTGTTATACACTTTACCTGGTATATTCAGTCAACTTATTCCCCTATAATTTTTACTATACATGCTCTCTGCCAATCCATAGGTACTTTCCCCTCTTTCATATATTTATTAAACAAAAATACCAACCACTCCAACACTATGTGTCCCCCTGCTTTTAACATTTCTGCCATGATCCCGTCAGTTCCAGCTGCTTTACCCCCTTTCATTCTACGTAATGCCTCACGTACCTCCCCCACACTCACATCCTGCTCTTCTTCACTCCTGAAAGATGTCATACCTCCCTGGCCAGTGCATGAAATTACTACCTCCTTTCTTCATCAGCATTTAAAAGTTCCTCAAAATATTCCCGCCATCTACCCAATACCTCCATCTCCCCATATACTAACTCCCCTACTCTGTTTTCAACTGACAAATCCATTCGTTCCCTGGGCTTTCTTAACTTGTTTATCTCACTCCAAAATTTATATTCCCTCTTTTCCTGCTATAACTTATGCTTCAACATCATTGCTACTTCTTCCCTAGCTCTAACTCAATGAGAAACCCCTGACCTAATCCCATTTATTTCTCCACACTGAAACTCTCCTACCCCCTTTAGCTGTGTTTCACTTAGAGCCAGGACATCCTTAGGAGTTAGTTACCTGGAGGTTACCTGGAGGTTATTCCGGGGATCAACGCCCCCGCGGCCCGGTCCATGACCAGGCCTCCCGATGGATCAGGGCCTGATCAACTAGGCTGTTACTGCTGGCCGCACGCAGTCCGACGTACGAGCCACAGCCCGGCTGATCCGGCACTGACTTTAGGTATCTGTCAAGCTCTCTCTTGAAGGCAGCCAGGGGTTTATTGGCAATTCCCCTAATGCTTGATGGGAGGCTGTTGAACAGTTTTGGGCCCCGGACACTTATGGTGTTTTCTCTTAGTGTACCAATGGCGCCCCTACTTTTTATTGGCGGCATTTTGCATCGCCTGCCCAGTCTTTTACTTTCGTAGGGAGTGATTTCTGTGTGCAGATTTGGGACCATTCCTTCCAAGATTTTCCAAGTGTAGATTATGATATATCTCTCCCTCCTGCGTTCCAACGAGTACAAGTCAAGTGCTTCCAAGCATTCCCAGTAGTTAAGGTGCTTGACAGAACTTATACGTGCAGTAAAGGATCTCTGTACACTCTCTAGATCTGCGATTTCACATGCTTTGTATGGAGATGTTAATGTACAGCAGTATTCCAGCCTAGAGAGAACAAGTGATTTGAAAAGGATCATCATGCGCTTGGCATCTCTCGTTTTGAAAGTTCTCATTATCCATCCTATCATTTTCTTTGCACGTGCGATCGTGGCACTGTTGTGATCCTTGAAAGTGAGATCCTCAGACATTACTACTCCCAGGTCCCATACATTATTTTTCCGCTCTATTGTATGGCCGGAGTCAGTAGTATACTCTGTTCTAGTTATTATCTCCTCCAGTTTTCCATAACGGAGTAGTTGGAATTTGTCCTCATTGAACATCATATTGTTTACCGTTGCCCACTGGAAAACTTTGTTTATATCTTCTTGGAGGTTAACCGCGTCCTCAGCAGATGACAGCCTCATGCAGATCCTAGTATCATCCGCAAAGGATGATACGGTGCTGTGGTGTATATCTCTGTTTATGTCTGATATGAGGATAAGGAATAAGATGGGGGCGAGTACTGTGCCTTGTGGAACAGAGCTCTTCACTATGGCAGCCTCCGATTTAACTCTGTTTACAACTACTCTTTGTGTTCGATTTGTTAGGAAGTTGAAGATCCATCTCCCCACTTTCCCAGTTATTCCTTTAGCACGTATTTTATGGGCTATTACGCAATGATCTCATTTGTCAAATGCTTTTGCAAAGTCTGTGTATATTACATCTGCATTCTGATTTTCTTCCAGTGCATCCAAGGCCATGTCATAGTGATCCAGTAGTTGTGAGTGGCAGGAGCGACCTGCCCTGAACCCATGTTGCCCTGGATTGTGCAGATTTTGGGAATCCAGGTGATTTGCAATCCTGCTTCTTAGCACTCTTTCAAAGATTTTTATGATGTGGGACGTCAGAGCTATTGGTCTATAGTTCTTAGCTAATGCTTTGCTGCCACCTTTATGGAGCGGGGCTATATCCGTTGTTTTAAGTGACTGTGGAATTTCACCCATGTCCAAGCTCCTCCTCCATAGTGTACTTAGGGCACGCGAGAGGGGTTTCTTGCAGTTCTTAATGAAAACAGAGTTCCACGAGTCTGGGCCCGGGGCTGAGTGCATAGGCATGTTGTCAATGGCTTTTCGAAATCTATCGGAGTTAGGGTAATGTCGGAAATCTGGCATACATTTATGGAGTTTTGAGGCTCATTCATGAAGAAATCATTTGGGTCGTCGATCCTCAGACCGATTAGTGGTTCACTAAACACAGAGTCGTACTGGGATTTCAATATTTCACTCATTTCCTTGTTGTCGTCTGTTTTAAGTCCCATCCTGTCTGAGTAAGGGCCCAATACTAGATGTGGTATTTGCCTTGTTTTTGGCATATGAAAAGAAATATTTTGAATTTCTTTCAATTTCACTAATAGCTTTAAGCTCCTCCTGCCTCTCCTGGTTCCTGTAAGAGTCATTTAGCTTAAGTTCGATAGTTTCCACTTCCCTGGTCAGCGCCTCCTTTCGTGTATCAGATATTCTAGCACTCCTGAGGAGCTCAGTGACTCTTCGTCGTCTTCTGTAGAGGGAGCGTCTTTTTCTCTCCAGTTTACTCCTGCTCTTCTTCTTTCTTAGGGGAATATGCCTAGAACATGCTTCGGCTACCAGGAAGTTGATCCTTTCAAGGCACTGGTTTGGATCCATGTCATTTAAGACATCTTCCCAACATGTTTCGTTTAGGACATGGTTTACCTGGTCCCAGTTGGCTCCACTATCTGCTGGCTTAAGGTGTGTTTTTCGCAGAGACTTAGTAGCTCATGTGTGTGTGACCTTTCATCTGCGCTACTCCGGGGATTGTTTCAGCTATAACATTATTTGCTACATTCTTCCATTTTGTATGCCTTAGGTTGAAATCACCAAGCAGTAAGATGTTTGGGGATGGAGCTGGAAGGTTTTCCAAACAGTAATCGATTTTCAGTAGCTGTTCCTTGAACTGTTGGGAGTTGCATCTGGTGGCTTGTATACAACCACAATGACTAGGTTTTGGTTCTCGATCTTTATTGCTAGAACTTCAACTACCTCATTTGTGGTGTTCAGCAACCCCGTGCAGATAAGGGACTCTTTGACATACAGGCCAACCCCCCCTTGTTGCCTGTTTTTTCTGTCGCATCTAAAAAGGTTGTAACCACTTATCCATATTTCACTGTCAAAGTGATCTTTTGTGTGGAGTCTTTGTGAAGGCTGCAAACATTGCATTAGACTCCACTAGAAGTCCACTGATAAAAGGTATTTTGTTGTTGGTGGATGGCTTAAGGCCCTGTATATTAGCAAATATGAACGAGGTTGTATTCTGTGTTTGTTGGGGGATTTTGTTATTGGCATCAGTAGTTGTAATTCTGGAGGGCCAGCTTCTTTTCATATATATATATATATATTATATATATATATATATATATAATATATATATATATATATATATATATATATATATAATATATATAAAAATATATATTATTTTTTATTATCACACCGGCCGATTCCCACCAAGGCAGGGTGGCCCGAAAAAGAAAAACTTTCACCATCATTCACTCCATCACTGTCTTGCCAGAAGGGTGCTTTACACTACAGTTTTTAAACTGCAACATTAACACCCTCCTTCAGAGTGCAGGCACTGTACTTCCCATCTCCAGGACTCAAGTCCGGCCTGCCGGTTTCCCTGAATCCCTTCCTAAATGTTACTTTGCTCACACTCCAACAGCACGTCAAGTATTAAAAACCATTTGTCTCCATTCACTCCTATCAAACACGCTCACGCATGCCTGCTGGAAGTCCAAGCCCCTCGCACACAAAACCTCCTTTACCCCCTCCCTCCAACCCTTCCTAGGCCGACCCCTACCCCGCCTTTCCCTTCCACTACAGACTGATACACTCTTGAAGTCATTCTGTTTCGCTCCATTCTCTCTACATGTCCGAACCACCTCAACAACCCTTCCTCACCCCTCTGGACAACAGTTTTGGTAATCCCGCACCTCCTCCTAACTTCCAAACTACGAATTCTCTGCATTATATTCACACCACACATTGCCCTCAGACATGACATCTCCACTGCCTCCAGCCTTCTCCTCGCTGCAACATTCATCACCCACGCTTCACACCCATATAAGAGCGTTGGTAAAACTATACTCTCATACATTCCCCTCTTTGCCTCCATGGACAAAGTTCTTTGTCTCCACAGACTCCTAAGTGCACCACTCACTCTTTTTCCCTCATCAATTCTATGATTCACCTCATCTTTCATAGACCCATCCGCTGACACGTCCACTCCCAAATATCGGAATACGTTCACCTCCTCCATACTCTCTCCCTCCAATCTGATATTCAATCTTTCATCACCTAATCTTTTTGTTATCCTCATAACCTTACTCTTTCCTGTATTCACCTTTAATTTTCTTCTTTTGCACACCCTACCAAATTCATCCATATATATATATATAGCAACACTGCGCTAGCCAAGGATTCGAACCCATGTTGTACTAGCCTGCCTCATGGTAAGCGAGAACCACATGACGCTTTAAACCACAGGACCACCCAACCCTACAAGAATAGCGCAGCCAGCACAGAGCTAGCTGTTTACCCGCCATCCGAGGGCATACGGAGGTGTGGGAGCTTCTAAGCTAATTTCATTCTCATCCCTGTTTCGTGGTTACAATAATATATAAATACTGCTCGTGAGGCTAGTACACTAAACAGGGATGAGAATGAAACTAGCTTAGAAGCTCCCACACCTCCGTATGCCCTCGGATGGCGGCCCAACAGCTAGCTCTGTGCTGGCTGCGCCATTCTTGTAGGGTTGAGTGGTCCTGTGGTTTAAAGCGTCATGTGGTTCTTGCTTACCATGAGGCAGGCCAGTACAACATGGGTTCGAATCCTTGGCTAGCGCAGTGTTGTTATATATATATATATATATATATATATATATATATATAATATATATATATATTTATTTTATTATTATAAAAATATTATTGGTAGAATGTCACTGTTACCCTGACAGTCCCGAAGTTAGCACCTACTATGTCACCCCACAGAGCGTTCTCGCGATTAAAGACAACGCTTCCCTGGGTTCCTGCAGACACGAAACTTTCCAAGCTTGACACCCTTCGTCTTGCCACCTCCTATATCGGACACTTGCGGGCGCTGCTGCAGGAAGACGGCGAAGTCAGAACACAAGCGCACCCACTCACTCTGGTAAGTCCTCTTCCCTAACGGAGAGTAATTTGGATTTGTATGGTGAGTTGTTTCAGTACGTACTATTGGGTTTATCTCATGTACTGAGACAGTAGTGTAGACGCAACGTGCAGGACTAGCTTTGACTGTTATAACGTTTCGCTCTGTGTACAGCGAAACGTTCAAAATAAGCTGATTATGCAGAAAGTGTCCTTCAGAGACTCTTAAGAATAAAACTCACTATCCTACGATAGACGTATTTTTTGGAAAATCCGTTGAGAGATGTGTTTAGTATTATACTATGTTATAACATATTGGACAATATATTTCTTGAGGATACGTCTTTCTTCTCTTTCTCGTTCGTATACTTTGCGTTGTCTTAAGAACAATCATTTGTTTAGAATTTACTTATTCTAGAAAGTAATTAGGAGCAATTTCAAATTCTATATTTAATTACCGTTTTTTCTAACCTTCGTACTGTTTTCCATTTTCTAATGATTTTTCTCGTAAACAAAATTAATTGGCACATTTCGAAATCATTTTTTCTTAAAATCAGTTCTAATTTCAACTCATGTCATGTAAACATCTTGGACAAAAGTCAATAACGATCTGTTAATCTTAAAGCAATAAGCAAATAGTGCCAAGTGTCACTCTGGCACTCCAACGAGATCACAACCACCTGGGGGAAAAAAGAGGGCGAGAAAACTCTATTTTAAATATCTAGATCTTACCCTGTAAATTTAGAATCATCCGGTGGATAAGAAAACATTAACCAACACAACACAGTAATGTTTAAAATTCCGTATTAAGCAAGTTGAAAGACAGACCTTGTATGCAGGTTAGCAGTAAAGTCTTGTTGTCCCGCCCCACTGAAAAAGCCGCGTCACTCTTAGTGTAAACAAGAATGACAGGGAACACTTAGCAAGGGGGAAGGAGAAGGGATGGGTTCCCTTAGGGGTGTTGGCGGTAAAGGGAAGGGAAAATGGGAGGAGAATGACGAGGGGAATTTATTTCCATTGTGATTATTATTACAAGTTCATTATCTGAATAAAATAAAAAATTAAGACACAATACCGTGACTGGAACGATACACGAATCACCCGCACACAGGAGACTCGTACGATACACGAATCACCCGCACACAGGAGACTCGTACGATACACGAATCACCCGCACACAGGAGACTCGTACGATGCACGAATCACCCGCACACAGGAGACTCGTACGATACACGAATCACCCGCACACAGGAGACTCGTACGATGCATGAATCACCCGCACACAGGAGACCGTCATAACATCACGACACGAGACTCGTGTCGTGCACAGACTCGTACTGGATCCCCTGTATTCTTGGTCCGCTTCCTCTGATTCTTGGTCCTCTTAATCTCTACTAAGATTATTTTATTTGGTCTCGTTCTCTTATTCTCTATTTAATTCGTGTTCCATTTTTAATTCATTTTCTCTTGCTCTGTATTTGACCCTTCCGTCCCGTAGCTCGATTGGTAGCGCACTCAGCTCACACACTGAAGTCCGTGGTTCGATCCCCGGTACGGGTGGAAATATTCCTGCCTGTTTCCTTAAGACACCTGCTGCCCCTGTTCACTTAGCAGTAAGTAGGTACCTGGGTGTTAGCTGACTGGTGTGGGTCGCATCCTGAGGACAAAATTAACCTAATTTACCCGAAATGCTCTGCACAACCAAACGTTCTCAGATTTAGCAGAAAAACGTTCCCAGAGTTAGTATAAAAACGTTCCCAGAGTTAGCAGGAAAACGTTCACCCAGAGTTAGCAGAAAAACGTTCCCAGAGTTAACAGAAAAACGTTCCCAGAGTTAGCAGAAAAATATTCCCAGAGTTAGCAGAAAAACGTTCACCCAGAGTTAGCAGAAAAACGTTCCCAGAGTCAGCAGAAAAAACGTTGGAGTCTCTCGTGCGAGACAACTTTTTTCACCACATCTGCACATAAAAACAACGTCGAGAAGCTGTCTGGACGCAAGTGATCATTGTTATGTCAGTTAGGTTTAGTTTAATATGTTTATTATGCAGCCTATACCCATCCTGTAGGCGGTAGTAACCCCATACCCATCCTGTAGGCGGTAGTCACCCCATACCCACCCTGTAGGCGGTAGTCACCCCATACCCATCCTGTAGGCGGTAGTCACCCCATACCCATCCTGTGGGCGGTAGTCACCCCATACCCATCCTGTGGGCGATAGTCACCCCATACCCATCCTGTGGGCGGTAGTAACCCCATACCCATCCTGTAGGCGGTAGTCACCCCATACCCATCCTGTGGGCGGTAGTCAAAAGATTACAGAGGTACATAATGTGTCCGGGGACTGTACGTCAACATTACAGAGGTACATAATGGGTCCAGGGACTGTACGTCAACATTACACAGGTACATAATGGGTCCAGGGACTGTATGTCAACATTACAGAAGTACGTAATAGGTCCAGGGACTGTACGTCAACATTACAGAGGTATATAATGTGTCCAGGGACTGTACATCAACATTACAGAGGTACTTAATGTGTCCAGGGATTGTACGTCAACATTACAGAGGTACATAATGGGTCCAGGGACTGTACGTCAACATTACAGAGGTACACAATGTGTCCAGGGACTGCACGTCAACATTACAGAGGTACACAATGTGTCCAGGGACTGTGCGTCAACATTACAGAGGTACATGTGTCCAGGGACTGTACGTCAACATTACAGAGGTACACAATCTGTCCAGGGACTGTACGTCAACATTACAGAGGTACATAATGTGTCCAGGGACTGTACGTCAACATTACAGAGGTACATAATGTGTCCAAGGACTGTACGTCAACATTACAGAGGTACATAATGTGTCCAGGGACTGTACGTCAACATTACAGAGGTACATAATGTGTCCAGGGACTGTACGTCAACATTACAGAGGTACATAATGTGACCAGGGACTGTACGTCAACATTACAGAGGTCCATAAGGTGTCCAGGGACTGTATGTCAACATTACAGAGGTACATAATGTGTCCAGGGACTGTACGTCAACATTACAGAGGTACATAATGTGTCCAGGGACTGTACGTCAACATTAAAGAGGTACGTAATGTGTCCAGGGACTGTACGTCAACATTACACAGGTACATAATGTGTCCAGGGACTGTACGTCAACATTACACAGGTACATAATGTGTCCAGGGACTGTACGTCAACATTACAGAGGTACATAATGTGTCCAGGGACTGTACGTCAACATTACAGAGGTACATAATGTGTCCAGGGACTGTACGTCAACATTACAGAGGTACACAATGTGTCCAGGGACTGTACGTCAACATTACAGAGGTACATAATGTGTCCAGGGACTGTACGTCAACATTACAGAGGTACATAATGTGTCCAGGGACTGTACGTCAACATTACAGAGGTACATAATGTGTCCAGGGACTGTACGTCAACATTACAGAGGTACACAATCTGTCCAGGGACTGTACGTCAACATTACACAGGTACATAATGTGTCCAGGGACTGTACGTCAACATTACACAGGTACATAATGTGTCCAGGGACTGTACGTCAACATTACACAGGTACATAATGTGTCCAGGGACTGTACGTCAACATTACACAGGTACATAATGTGTCCAGGACTGTACGTCAACATTACAGAGGTACATAATGTGTCCAGGGACTGTACGTCAACATTACACAGGTACATAATGTGTCCAGGGACTGTACGTCAACATTACAGAGGTACATAATGTGTCCAGGGACTGTACGTCAACATTACACAGGTACATAATGTGTCCAGGGACTGGGCCCCAAAGGTTTGACAGCTGAGCAAGTTACAAAGGTAATAAAACTCACCTCGTTGCAGCAGCTTTTGATTACATGTTTTTATGTAAGAAATATAATCTGCCAGATCAAAAAAAAAAAAATTCTTAGTGCTAAAAAAAAATTCTTTCATGTTAATTTTTTTTTGTTTTGGTTAATCTGTTTTTCAGTTTAAGTATTTTACAAGAATTTTACAGGATATTCGAGGATTTTTTTTATAGAAGAAATTGATGGACAAGAACACATAAGAGCAGTACTGTGTTTTTGTCTCGTAAATAATTTTTTCAGTTTTGTACCTGGTTGAATTTCAGCTCCTGGGCTTCCTATGGGATTTTAATTTACAGCTCCGTAACCGTTTGAGGGTATTAAGTTAGATAGACCTCTGGCTGTCTTCAAGACCCCTGGCTGTCTTCAAGACCCCTGGCTGTCTTCAAGACCCCTAGCTGTCTTCAAGACCCCTGGCTGTCTTCAAGACCCCTAGCTGTCTTCAAGACCTCTGGCTGCCTTCAAGACCCCTAGCTGTCTTCAAGACCCCTGGCTGTCTTCAAGACCCCTAGCTGTCTTCAAGACCCCTGGCTGTCTTCAAGACCCCTAGCTGTCTTCAAGACCCCTGGCTGTCTTCAAGACCCTGGCTGTCTTCAAGACCCCTGGCTGTCTTCAAGACCCCTAGCTGTCTTCAAGACCTCTGGCTGCCTTCAAGACCCTAGCTGTCTTCAAGACCCCTAGCTGTCTTCAAGACCCCTGGCTGCCTTCAAGACCCCTGGCTGTCTTCAAGACCCCTGGCTGTCTTCAAGACCCCTGGCTGTCTTCAAGACCCCTGGCTGTCTTCAAGACCCCTGGCTGTCTTCAAGACCCCTGGCTGTCTTCAAGACCCCTGGCTGCCTTCAGACCCCTGGCTGTCTTCAAGACCCCTGGCTGTCTTCAAGACCCCTGGCTGTCTTCAAGACCCCTGGCTGTCTTCAAGACCCCTGGCTGTCTTCAAGACCCCTGGCTGTCTTCAAGATCCCTGGCTGTCTTCAAGGCCCCTGGCTGTTTTCAAGACCCCTGACTGTCTTCAAGACACCTGGCTGTCTTCAAGACCCCTGGCTCTCTTCAAGACCCCTGGGTCTCTTCAAGACCCCTGGCTCTCTTCAAGACCCCTGGCTGTTTTCAAGACCCCTGGCTGTCTTCCAGACCCCTGGCTGTCTTC